AACATTGGAAACTCATTTCAATGTATTTTTTGCCAACAAACCCCTGAAACCATAGTTAGATAAGGAACGGGACAAACGATGAAGGAAAGACAAAAGGAAAGTACACCAAGTTCGAACGTAACCCTTTGGCGCTCATATAATCAGCTTACAAGAGAGAGAGAGAGAGAGAGAGAGAGAGAGAGACGAAATAAAGAGTTGAGACAAGAAAACGCTACTCATGGAGAAGCATCGATGTACCCCACGGGAGTCGTTGCAAGAAGTGCGCAACGTCTGCGAATAATGAAACGACGAAAAGTTTAACGAACTTCAATCCGTAAAACATACTTGCCACTTTGCATCCTTTCGAGCTCTTTTATTATTATCGTCTCGTCCTCGCCATTCGTGTACTACTTCCGTCCTCCATTTCGTATAATTCTAAGCTTACGAGCATTGAGAATTGATCATTCTAACGTATCCTCGAGTTTACTATTAAATAATAAAAATCAAGCAGTTACACTCGATTATAAATGCACGGGAAAGACGCGAATTGATTCAAGCGATTTCATCATTCCTGTCCTCAAATATTATAAAAACTAATCGTTCTAATAAATGTTCACAACCAAGTAAATTATTTTATGTAAAGTCGGATTTTTAACATTGACAATTAAATTTTGTCTTTTTTACTTACGCTTTATTTAGCATACGCATTTTTTCCTGTTTCTTACCTTCAATTTCACTCTCACTCTCATCCGTAAGTGCAACATTTATATGAAAATTGAATTAATAGTCTTCTGAGTATGCATAAATATGTCGCTCATTGCCTTTCGAAATATAATTCATCGTCGTAGTAATAATATTTAGTTTATAATAATATTAGTTCTCATAAGAGTAAAAGAATTTTCTTACTTTAGCTCATCGTCCATATTAAGAATTTTTAATAAGTACTTATCAAAAGACGACAATACGATAAAATTACTTTAACATTTCTGCAAACTGTAAAGAATATCTAAGAATTAAATTATTTTTTAGCGAATTCCATTTCAACCAAGATAAAAATAAAATGTAGACTTTTGTATAATCATCTTACCTTACTTTATCACTTTAGCAGAAACAAAGGAAAATATTAAAAATCAAATTTAATTTTATAATTCCAATCTCATCTCATAGTATAGATAGAACGATATAAAGATACTTTAGTATATTCATAACTTAATTCAATTACATATAGTTTTTCTCAAGCTTTCTAAATATTTGTAATTATTCGGAACGTATTTGAGATAATTTAACAACATTTTATGCTAAATTTTATGTTAAAAACATATATAATTTTTGTAACGAATAATAGAATAAAATGAAAAATAAATCGGCATTATAATAAGTTGTACCTTGTATTGAGTATTAGTAAATATTGAGTATTTTTGCATCAATGAAATATATTTACGTAGCCTTAATTTTTTTTATACCTTCCTTCTTGCTCTCATTTTCTTCCTTATTATACTCTCTCGCTCGCTTTTGCTTTCTTAGTTATTCGCTCGTACTCGTTTGAGAATGAGATTATTTTTCGAGGCTCTTTTGCATGTATAAAACAGAATGCGAAAGGGCCTCGTCGAGTTGAACGTAGTAAAACTTATTTATCTCCACGCGGTTAATTAGTCCTGGGGAAAAACGTCGAAAGTTAATTGGGTGTTCTTAATTTTTTCGTTTACTAGTACAATTCTCCACCATGCACTTTTCCCTTTTCTTGTTTCGTCGATTATTTTTATCGCGTAATCGTGCATAATTAAAGTTTGCTTAGATTAAAAATTAATTACCGAGTGAAAAGCTTCAATAAGTAGCGCACACTTTATATAAATAGAATAAAACAAAATTCAACTAATTAAAAATAAATATTTTTTACAATTCAAATTAAATAAACGATGGATAACTAAAGAAATATTAAAAATTAAAAAACGCTTAAATATAATATTTTTATTGACTGGAAATGTCAACAAGAATTTATAATACAATATGTGATAAATTAAAATAACGTTTAATTTTAATAATTACTAAAATTTGTAAAAATAATTAACGTACTTTCTTAAATATTCTTTACAATATAAAATATACTTTCATTCTATTTCTCAATGTTGTCTCCCTCTCTCTCTCTCTCTCTCTCTCTCTCTCTCTCTCTCTCTCTCTCTCGTGAACATTGACAATATGATATAATTTATTAAAAACGTAACTATACTGGTTTCCTATATTATCCATTGTTTTTAATATCTTAAAAATGAAAAATATACTAAACTATAATAATTTTGTTATTTCATTTCAGAATCTGTTTTTAATAAAGAATTACTCAGTCGTTCAAACTACGTACTTCGGAATTCTAATGAAGTTGTCAATCAAGTTTAACTTAATAATAACTTAATACGAATGATATTTAATAATTCAACTAATTTTAAATTCATTTCGATAATCTTCAACTCTTAATCGCATAATACACATTAAACTAAAGACATTAACTCAAACGTATACAAAACTAATGTATTAAGTTTTTCGTTCATTTTCATTAACTTATTAACATATATTTTGTTAACTATAAAGTTTTCCTTGAATTTTCACTATTTAAAAATAAAGTAGTAGTCAATAAATAATCCTTAACCAACTTATAGAAGAGTTAATGTTTTCCATTTTCAAGTAAATGGAACTTTAAAAATGTCTTTAAACTTCATTAATCAATAAGATAATTCCTTAAAAATAATGAATATATTAATCGAAAAATTCTTTTATATATATATATATATATATATAGAGAGAGAGAGAGAGAGAGAGAGAGAGAGAGATAAGAGGAAGAGTGATTTCAGGCACAACTAACGCGAATGAAACTTAGTTTTACTAAAAAAATTCCACGATTGGTGATTACATCGGATAAATATATATGCGTTCGCTTCATACGATTAGATGATAAAAGGAAGAGTGAGAGTGAGAGTGAGAGAGAGAATCGAGTAAAATATTCGTTAAAGATGCAAGTTTGCAACTAAAGAAGTAAGCGAACGTGTGTCGTCCGAAATGGACGCTCGAATGATTCTTAACACTTTCGTTTAACAAGGCGGCGAAGAAAGAGTGAAAGAAAATAGGGGCGACGCGCCGAAATAAAAGAAGTTGTTTGCTGGTTGGCATAAGAAGCCAAGGCACTAATGGGACAGGCTGCTTAAATATGTAAGACGCGAGTGCGACAAGTGATACCCAACAGGCAGAGGCTAACAATAAACCAACATTAGGACGGTCCTCGAGAGACAAAGCCCGACGAGTCTCACCCTGAGACCAACAAACGCTCTAACAATTCTCTCTGGGTGCTTTGCCGACACCAATTTTCAGGCCAATCGAGCGAAAAGTTCCGTTGTACTTTTTTTTAAGAGCACTGTGCTTTCATACTCAAGAAGTACGAGTATAATTAACGTTTTAGTTTTTCATGCGATTTTCCTCTTCAATCATTCTATTTTCTACTTTGATTTTATTTTATTTTTTCTTTTCTCTCCTTTTTCATATTTTAACATAATAATAGGTAATGAAAAATTAATAATATGGGACCAAGTCTTCACAGCTCTCGTATACTAATAAAATGCTCTTTTTAAATTATCAAGTTTTCTAATAAATCCATTGAAATTAGCAATGGTTAATGAGTTAATTAACCCATTGTATTTGTGCGTAAATTTTATATTCGATTCTCCTTAACATTATATGTGCACTATTTCCATTCTTTCATTCGCTCAATTCAAACTATATTTTAGGCAAATTATAAGTTTAATTATTACCCATATAATTAATTATCGTTTATCTGTTTAAAATTTATATTAAAATAAATATACATTAACATTGCAATTGTTTAATACGATGAAATGCTTACTCCCACCGATCCCTTAATCAATTGAATTTTCAATTACTTCGTCGTATTACATAAGAGACTTTAGATATTTATTTATACGAGAATCGAACATGAAAAAATTAAATCTGTACGTACGAATGAATCTAAATATAATATTTATATTCGGCAACTGAAACGTGTCACTCGACATTAAAAATATATTACATCTAGTAAAAAATATATAGAAAATAATATCTTGCATACGCAATAGAATATCTTATTGTATAGAAACTATTTTTACAGGAATACAGTGAAGTGTCGAGTGTTGAATAATTAGTCAATAATTATAAAAATTTCATGACATAAAATAAAATTGCACCGTAATTATATTATAAATTATATTATATTATAAATATATAAATAATATTAGATTTAGGTTCCTTTAATAAATATTACTTTAATAAATCACGCTCTTACGTAATAAAAAAAAAATATATATATATATATATATATAAATTGAAAGATGAAAATTTTAAAAAGTTATTTTAAATAAAAAAAAAAATTTAGTAACTCAAAAACTGTAGAATGTTTCCCCCCCCCCTTTAACATCTTTAAACGACAAGAAACAAAGTCTATACGAGATAAAATTGTAATATAAATATAAGCATCGAATTACCTATATAAGCACACCATCTATTATAATGTATATATCGAAAAATAAATATAAAATTAAACCGTTTAATGCTAAATCTTTCCAGATTATTGACGCTAAAGAAATATTGAAAAATATTTTTCAGCTTAAATTTTCATTCGCTCTTCATTATTCTATTAAAAGATTTCTATGCCAGAATAATAATTCCTCAACAAATACGTACAATGATATTAATTAGTATTATAATATTATATATAGTTTCGTAATATATAATATATTCTTAAACATTTTAGTAAATATTGTAAATAATATCAGTCGCTTTTGATTAGATTTAATGAAAAAATAACCAACATTCGCATACGTCGAAGCAAAAAAATTAATTTATCTTAAGAAATATGAGCCTGATATTGATATTTGAGATTATCCGTATAATGATAAATAGCATGGAGTTAACATGGATTCTTTTCTTACCATTTAATGTAACAAAATCTCAGTGTTATTTTCAAAAAATTAACAAAAAAGATACTCTCCAGCGGGGAATCGAACCCCGGTCTCCCGCGTGACAGGCAGGGATACTAACCACTATACTACTGAAGACTCGTGGTTGGGTTTGTAAAAATAATTATCTTAAATTTAAAACTATTATTATGCAAAGTAATATTACATTTAACTGTATTGATAATGAACGTGATATACCTTCCGATACGAACTATAATATATATAATAGTCTTTTATGGCGCACACACCAATATATCCAAGTAAACATTCTGAATCCAATACAATACGCACGCGCGTCAGCTTTTTCTCATTTAATAGCTTTGGTCTGACGTCATTCGTGAGCACATGGAAGTGAGCCAGGTAGTTGGTTAAACGTACTGTAATGCTAATTCCCTTTTTGTGGCAAAATAATTTTGATTCTATTATAATTTGGAAAGATATTTAATTAAGTATTTATAATTCGACGCATCATGTATCTTTTGTTGGACTTTTGTTGTATTAAACTTTTTCAAATAATAGTAGAGCACCATTGATGGCTTATTCTGTTTAATGAAAAGTATGTTTTTGTATGATAATTAATTTTTGTAATAAATATATATATATATATATATATATATATATATATATATATATATATATAAATAATTATTTTAATATTAGAACATTAAATACATGCTAAATAGTCAGTAAATCTCGAAGAACGAGAGACATTCCATTACCTTTTAGTAAGAATAAAACTATTAAGCCATTGTAAATATATGCAAATTTTTTAAAGAGTAAAATCACAATAGTAACTGTAAATTTCATCAGATTAAATAAATAGCGGAAAAGATTTTTTTGTAATTTATTATTAACATAAAATATACATTTGATACAAGTGTTAATAGTAAATTATTTAATAAATATAAATATTATTAAATTGAGACAATTGTATAACTGTCCCGCCATGATTATGTAATGAATAATGTAATCTGTTATGGTATCTTCTTTTATCTCGTGTATCTTGAGTTTTTTTTAAGCAGATTTGAAGCCAAAGATATTTGGAAATTTCAATATTTTCATATTATTTACTACAAATAAACGTAATAAAAAAATGAAGAGAGTGTCGCAATTTCGAATTTTCAGTTATTTTATAATTTAGAGTTCCATTTATGACTTATATACTCATTTGTAAATACATGAAAAAGGGCTCAAAATCATTCTGAAAAAGCTCGCAATAATAAATATAACATTCTTGTTAGTATCTAATCATTTGCTTCTTATCTAAACAAAGTAAATTCTTGTCGGTCTAATTTTTCGTAAAATATAATTCATAATATTATTTCAGTATAAAAATTATAAAACCTATTTCAATATTAATTTAACTGAGAAACGAATGATATTATGAAATACTAATGATCTTCATAATGTTATAAAAAGTCATTAGATTTGTTGCAATTTTAATGATTTTAATAAAACAATAGACATTAGTTATTAACATTAAAATAATAATATTTAGTATTTTAATACGTTTAAGGTTGAATGTGTATCGTATTACAAGATTAACGAAACTACATAAATTTACAAAATTGAATCACAGTTGTTTTTTATAAATGAATGTTTATATTATTAGAATATATACGAATAAAAATAATTTCGGCATTTACATACACGTGATAATTTTTAAATCATACCAATGATTTTAAGTTATCTTGATAATCAGATACAACCTTATTGATTTTTATCATTTAATAAATTGGATGAAGTTATCTAAATGATTAAATGCACGTGTTATGTTTTTACATCACACTTTGAATATATCTAATCAAAATGTATTTGACGACTGAACTATCGATACATTAATTAGAGTATATAAAAAAATGTATCAACTTTGCTTATAATTGAATATTTTAATAATAATATAATATTAAATTTAATATTAAATTTATTCATTTCTTTGTATTTCTTAGTTAATAATTTTATTTAAAATGCACTCACCTTTCATTGATTAGATATTTCCTGATTCAAATAAAAGGCGATTATATTATACTATTCACGGAGTATCTCATCATCTTATTTTCATCTTATTCTCATTCATATTTATTTTCATCTTAAATCCATATATTATATCTAAGAATCTATTAGTTAAATAATAAAATTCATTAAAATGAAAAATACCTGAGTGGTGAAATTTGCTTATGTAATTATTAATATACAGAACATCATTATTACAAAATTATAAATACTTTCAATATTATTAAATAGAATTAAATATATATTTAAATTGAATTATTGTAATGAAAATTAAATATAGATAAATTAAGTATCAAAAAGTAATATAAAAAAAAAAAATTGATAATAATAGTTTTTAAATATATCAAAATATCCTTACATAAGATAAGGTTTTTGATTATTTAACTTTACGGTGCCAATACAATATCTTTTAATTAATTTATAATTAATTTAGTAAATGATCTCTAATATATTCATCTATACGTAACGATAAGACAAGTTGACAAATGATTGAAAGTTACGTTGAATAAATAATTGTTGCAACATTTGTAATTTAGACAGACTATTTTCAATGTACGTTAACAAATAATAATATTATTATTTATTACAAATAATCCGAATAATAATAACGATAATATAACTTTTCTTTTGAATATCAATAAAATTCGCAATCTGCGCTCCAAATACATATTTCTTAATAAATTAGAATTTATAAAGTGGTGAAAAAATAATTTAACTAAAAAATAATATCTTTAGTTACACTATAATATTATTATCAATGAACTCTACTAAAGTGAATAAAACAATTAATATTAACTTTTAACTAATACTTTTCAATACCTTTTATTTAAATAAGAATTGCTAAGCATCAGTAATGAAATGAAACTTATATGTAATATTATATAATATTCAGTTATTTATTGATATTGTGTTTAAAATGTAAAAGTTTCTACAATAAATATTCCATAAAATATATTGTAAAGCAACTATTTGTGTAATAACTCGTGCTATTAAATATCTCTGTAGGCATTAAATCTTATCCATGTATAATACAAATCTCCTAGAATTAATAATCTTAATTTAAGTTGTTAATGATTATTACGTAATTATTTGGAAAATAAAATGAGCTATTTACCATGATGGATTAAAAGAGTTTTTACATAAATATACATTCCAGATATAAAGTAAATATTTCTTATAGATGATTAATATTAATATGATTATGATTTACTGAAGCCATGGATAGTCGAGTTGAGATTTCAATAAACTTTAATTATGAATCTGATCTGCTATATTATCTAAAAAATATAGAATCTTTTATAAATTAAATAAAAACAATCAAGCGGCAGTAAATACTATAACCATTGTAGTTCAGATTAAAAGAAACTTTATCAGAGCATAATTTTTATTTGGATCATTGTACTATGTTACACAAAAAATATTGTAAATTATACATTATAAAAATCATATATAAATAAATAAAAAAAAAACCTCAAATTACATATAAAAGCATATTGTATTGTATAAAAATATATTATTAGTTTAAGGTTACCTATTCTGTTTAATTATCTCGACATTACTATTGTGAGTCATTTTTTATAATCTATTTTTTAATAAAGGGAAACATTAAATGAAATGTAGCTGGTCATTTTCACTATGTGAACAAGTTTTGGAAATTAAATATAAAATATAAAGCCAAATTTAAAGTAAAATCTATTTAGAAATTATAGATATATTATTATACTTTAGTATTGATTAAAATAAAAATTAATTTTCATTCATGTTAATTTATTTTTACTATTTAATTTTAATACATATAATTTAATAAGAAGTAAAAATATATTTCTTATAAAAATTGTATTCATTCAATCAAAAGATTGTAAAAGATATATTATTTAACTTTTATCTTGTTATAAATGTAATTTTTTGAGAAATATTGTGATAATTAGTTAGTGTTAAATTATGATGAAAAATGAAAATGAAATGATTAATATTATAAATACTATATACAAGTATTTCACATATTAAGTTGGAAATGCTATTTTATTTCAAATAGTTAATTAATGTATAAAATTTGTTATATATAAATTGTATATATTTTAAAAGTGAGAAAAGAATGTTGATAAATTTTGCCTCTAAATATAGAATATGAAAATTTTAAGGGAAGAATTAGTTTTTGTAATTAATATGAAAGAAATAACGTAATAGACGATTTAATTATTTTTTACTTATATTTAAAATAATTGTTATTTATTAATTTGATAAGAATATCCAATCCAATCATAAGAGAATATTTATATAAAAATAAAATGTCAACAGAAGTACGAGTACAATATTTATATAACAAATGAAATATCACTATACATATAATAAATTGATAATGCATTAATCTGAAAATTAATTATGGATCTAAAATAAAGAAAATATTATTATGAAAGTTTCGAAGAAAAGTATTAAATCTTTAATTATCATTAATAAGTATAATATCAAAACAATGTTTATATATTTTTATATGTAATAATGCAACGTATATTACTATTAATTATATTTGAAGAATATTTTTAAGGTAGTAAACAGAATAAATAAATAAATTAATTAAACAGAGATATTCAGTTATACTAAGAATTATTAATTTAATCTTATCTTGTTGAACAGAAATTTAACGAAATGAAAAAACTTTGAACGATATTTTAGAGAGACTATTATATGTTAAAATTAAAAAATTGTATGTAAACAATTAGATTAACATTTGTAATTAACGCATACAAATACTTCCTAAAAACGTTATTTAGAAATTTTCTAATATTAGTAGTAAATATAAAATATAAGATAATATTGATATAAAATATCAAGACACCGTAATTTCAATATAACCTAAAATTATAAACGGAGTTTGTAATTCCAACGAAAAACGCAATTAAAGTAATGAAATCTGACAAAATATATGTTAAATAATATTTTTTATTTTTCATTATAATTGCATAGTTAATATCTATTATTCTAATAAATATACCGTTGAAAATAGCGGAAATATTTTAGTATTATAAAATTATTCAATCGACTATATGAAATAACAATGTTGTCAATGTTTGGGAAAAAGTAAAAAATCAGTCATTATTTACAATTACAAAATAAATGAACGATGATTAGCCAAGTAAAAACATCTAGAACTTGGAGATAAGAATCTTAGGTAATATTTCAGAATTAAACAACCAAACAATTTTTTAAATATAGCTATAAAAAATTATCCGAGACATCATTTGGATTACCAAATGAAATGGTCCCAATATATAATTTACGTATCTCGTTTAATAATCCATAATATTAGCATCTGCAACAACTAACAATTTCACTTAAATTTAGCGTTTTGAATCTTAACATAAGCATCGCTCACATCGAGAATCATTCTCGTTTATTCTCGTATTTCTCCTATTTCTCGTTTCGCGGCCACGTGATTCCTAAAAGTCTAATTGATCCGTGGCCTCGCTAATAAAACAAATCTTAAATGAAGTTTTCAGGAAACCATAGGAAAGCGCAAAAAGCTTTATGAATTCTTTATTTACGAGTTATTCTTTGGCTCGGTTATTCTTTATTTAATGGAGTAGAGGAGTACGACATCAAAATCACAATAAAATACCGGAACATTTCGTTGAGAGGAAACGTTGTATTTTTCCATCGCGTAATGGTACTGCGATTCCCTCGCGACAAAGACGGTAAGTTTGTATTTATGTAAATGAATGCCGCGAGCTTGGAGAAAGCAAAAAGTCGCGGGATGGGGGTACCAGGAGTCGGGATCACGCGACGGCTCCCATAAAGCAGGTAACAATGATGAAAATATCGCTTTCTAAAGGTGGCGCCCGTATCATTAATGCGAAGCCTCCCTTTCAAGCCCTTCGCTTACCTCTAAAAACTTCTTCCCTCTACCCATCTACAACATAAACGACATTAACCTTCTGCGCACTTTTTTCTTCTTTTTTTTTGTTTTTTTTTTTTTGTTTTTTGTTTTTTGTTTTGTTTTACGGATGAATGTCTGCTCCTCTTGGGGACTGTCGACATTAATAAGAAAGTTCACGCAGACTTTCTTCACTTTTATACTTTTGCCCTTATGTAAATAAAACACAACAAAGAGTGCTTGAAAAAGAAAAAAAAATAATTAAATGGCTGCTCGATATGATAGCCGATATTACGATAATAAAATTCGACCTGACACTTAATTAAAACGGTGATTCTTAACGTTGAATGATGTATATTTCAACGTAGCCAAAGCTCTTCTCGATGCAACTATTTTGCCTTTATTTCCACTACGTTGCAAGAAGGATGCTAGTTAGTAGAAAGAAAGTAGTCGTTATTGTGGCATTTAGTTAAAAACGTCATGTGAGACTTTTTTAACAATAAATTGAAACTATGAATATTTTGAACAGATCATTAAAAAATCATATGATTGCCGACAAGGTTATATTTAATGAGAATAAATAAAGAACTTAAAAACTAAATTAACGTTCCTAGGAGCGTGAATTTCGCTGTACCAACAAATGCTTCCTTCCTGTCCAAAGCCAAGGGAAAGACAGACGGACTGAAATCAGTAGAACCAATGGTTGTAAAGCATGAGCCGCACCTGAAATAATAATGACTCGACTCGACTCTGATTTCGTCGAGTGATCTGCCAAAGATCAGAGGAAATACGCTAATTAATTCCCTTTTACGAATGCTGTCAGATTTGCGGTGTTCGCTAATAGTCGCGCAAATTCATTTGGTTCGCGGCATTCAAATGAAAGTAGGTAGAAAAAAATCGTTTTGAACATCATCATTGCATGAAAATCGAATGCATTTCCATGAACATGAAACTGGTAAAAGATAACATACAAGACTGACTACCGCCCGCTTGCAAATAGTCATTCATGCTTTTCTCTTAATAAAACTTAATAAATCGTGTGTGATTAAATTCTCTACTTATTAGTATTATCATCAGTTATTAATTATGATTGATTTATTACAATATATTGAAATTTTATTATAATAAAATGTAAATATTTTATCTTTTTTTTTTTATTACTTTTACTAATTATTATCATTCATTTCTATTTCTACTTATTCGTTCGTGTGATTATTTGGCCATCAAACGTTCAGAAAATAAAGTAAAATTTTTCTACCTTAAAATTAATAAAAAAAAGCGTAGTAAAATTCTTTACAATTTCAAGTCTACTTTATTATAAAACATTTATTAATAAAAGAAATTAAAAAATAATCGATTAAAATTTAATTCTCATCTATAAAATCAAATTGCAATATACGTGCATTTTTTTTGTACTAATTTTTATAAATAATAATGTTTAATTTACTATGCATTATTAAAATGGATATTGTTTAAATTTCAATATTTGTGTTTTCGCTAAAATAACATTTGTAAGTAACTACTGTAATTATCTGCAAAAGGATAAAAAGATTGTCGATAAAAGAGATCTCTTACTATCCTTATGCTGTTCATAATTTCTCTTATGAACATCTGTCGATGTATAAAATGTGATTAAAAATTTTTTTTTTAAATATCATCATGTATCACAATAATATGATAACTGAATTAAATATTTATATTGAATAAATTGTAGTATTATTACATATATATTATATATATTAAATAGTGGGGTAACTGATATTATTATAAGAAAGTAAGTGATACGAAAGAAGTTATTTAAAAAAATGATATTGCATTATTAGGCAAATTAATAGATTATTATAAAAATTAATTATGGCATATCTTATAACCATTATTTAATAATTATCATGAAAAATTTTAGCTGGTATTATTTGATCTATCAATTTGATTCGCAAAACCAAATCTAAATCAAATTACCTTAGAATAAATTATATTTATTCTATAAACATAATATGAACTTATTTAAATTTGCTTATCCCTTTTCTTTAAGCTAAAATATTAATTCCTATTAAATTCATTGATATATTACTATTTCATATATTCAAATAAATCTTATATTTGCAAAGTGAAAACGGTACTTTAAAACGTTTTCCCCCAGAGTTTTTATCAATGATAGAAAAAACACGCTTGCAAAATATTTATGTCACAAATCTTAACAGTCTATTCTTAGAGTTCAATATTTTTAAACATAAATATAAGTCATATATGCGAGTAGAATTCATTTATTAATTTATTATCATTTATTTATTTTAATAAGTTAATGTATTATTTATATTAAAAATCATGAATAATTAAAGAGTAGAATAGTATGATATTATATACTTTCTTTCAAATCTTAAATCGATTGTCTAAAATATAATACAAGGTAATCTTTACATGCTATATTTACAAAAATTTATATTATTACGGCCTAATTTAAAGTATGCGTTCAAATACACACGCACGCACACGCGCACACATGAATACACACACATAATACACCACACACACACACACACACACACACACGCGCGCGCGCGCGCGCATATATACGCATATATACACCACACACACACGCGCGCGCGCGCGCGCGCATATATACACATATATACACACATATACACATATATACACACGTATACACATACACATATATATAGGCATATACGCATATACATATACACATATATATAGGCATATACGCATATACATATACACATATATATAGGCATATACGCATATATACACATATACGCATATATACGCATATACATATACGCATATATACGCATATACATATACACATATATATAGGCATATACGCATATACATATACACATATATATAGGCATATACGCATATACGCATATAAACATATGCGCGCATACACACCTACAGACCTACAGACCTACAGACCTACACACACACACACACACACACACACACACACACACACACATGTGGGTGGGTGTATGAATGCATATTAAAATCATTTAAGGAAATTCCAAATTAGTAAATTTACTTAATTTATCATTTTTGTTTGTTTCTCAAACTTATCGATTTCTCCAAATAAAATCAGTAAGAATTATTTTGAATTAAAGTAAGTGTTAATAATATATAAGCCATTGTAATATTATTCATTATAATAAATGAATATAACATCAAATTATATGAGTCTTATTATATCAAATTATATCCAAAATCAAATTTTAATATGTGTTTGTAAGTATACGTAACACCTACGTAATATATTACAAAAATTTCTAATTTTGATTGAATGCAACTTTTGCAGTAATAAAACATGTCAATTAAATATTCTAAGCATATAGGTTCAAAGAAATTTTATATACTCCTGTCATTCAATAAGAAAATCTAAAAATTATATTTAAATATAAATTCGATTTACTGCATTTAAAATGGACAAATATTTTGTAAAAAATACAAATATATAAAAAGAAATAGTTCAAAATAAATTATTCTACACACCTCATTAAACTTTTATAATATTACTTTCTAAAATTTGATAATGGACATACAAAGTGAAGGTAATTAATAAAATGCTTATACACATATTTAATATATATTTATTTATTTATTTATCATATTTTTTAAACAGATTATTCTGTTTAAATTCAAAAAATTGAAATACATAGTTACAATAATAAATAATTTATAAGTGAATATGACGTGCGATTATGTAAAGAAATTTAAATTTTCTAAAACCAAAAGATAATTTAGAGAAAATACACATTTACTCTAATAACTGTTACAATAATGTTTATTGTTTAAAGCTGATAATTTGTTGAGATTCTTCATTTGCAAGCACATGGATTACATTTGCATTGTGTACCAGATGATTTACAGGTGCATTTATCTAAAAAGAAAATCAAGATGAATAATATATTTATAGATAATATTATTATAATAATATTTTTGTACAATAATCGTTAGTATTTACAATTAAAATTTGATATTTGTTTGTACTAATTCTTTCAAGACTTTTATATAAATAAGCTTATATACATTTGTAGGGCGTAAGATATTTATTCTAATACTTTTATAATGAAATATTAATATAATAAGATATAGAGTCAATATTATTAATTTATGAGTTATAATAGCGATTTCTTTCTACGTATCATAAAGTCAATTATTTCCTTTCATATTTCGAATCCTGCGAATAATATGCGTAAGGCTATTGTTTCAACATTAAACTTATAAAAAATTATATTATATCCCATCAATATTATAACGCTATTTTTATATTTTTATAACATCCGATTCTTAAAGTAAAATATGACAATAAATTACCTAATGCAATAAAAAACATTAATAAAACAATATTATTGATTTTTAATATACACAAATAATAGAGTATTTGAATACTATATTTGAAGAAAAATATTAGAAAACATTTTGCTAGATTATATTTAATTAAAGTGAAACTAAGCAATCAAATGAAAATTCATTGTCCCACAAAAATTTCACTTTGATGAGGGATTTATTGACTTAATCGTGCGCGAGTAAAATTTATTTTAGAAAGACGATATTCATAACAACTACTTCTCCGATTATAGTTAAAAAAAAAAAAAGGATGTATTAGAAAACATTTAATTAATTTTTTTTTTTTTTTTTTTTTTTTTTGTTTTAGATATAATCACGTATGATCTATAATAGAGTGGCAAGAAATTAATCTGACAAGTAATACTCGTAAAACATTTTTACGAGTATTTTTTTTAAAGATATTGCGTTAGTCAGATTGCACTAACAAATAATTTTTAAATATCTATAAGCATAAAATTCGAGACTTATTATAAAAAATCTTGAAAAATTACAGACACAACCTTAACACCCTATATTGTTAACAATGCATTAATTAATAATAATAATTAACTATATCTTCCTGCCGTATTTCATAAAGTTTAAGATTATTTTATTCATTTAATTCATTCACGCGTAAATCGACAATATAATAACGTTTGTTTACCTCCACAGTTTCCATCACTGCACTTGCAATTATCACCGCAATTGCAGCTTTGACATTTGTCTGAAACAGAAATATAAAACGAAAAAGTTAGTATAATATTACGAAATTCCGTGATTTAATGAACATTTGCCATGCAGACAATTTTAAATAATATATTGAATTTATTCCAATCTAGTTTCACTTGTAAATATTATCGTGGCTTTAATAAAAATTAACAACAAAAGTACTTCATAAGTGTCAAGATTATCTTAATGCATACTAGGTACGTGAGTTTTATTGTTTTTACTCTATTGAATCGCTTGATAATTGAATAATGAACATGACACAAATGTTGCTACTCTCAATTAAGCTTAATTATTAATTTAACTATTATTAGGTTCTTTTATTTTTTAGATTAGATTATCTTAGATTATGATATTTTATTTAACTTAATTGTTCTTCATTTTATCCGATGTGAAAGTGTATTATATTGGAAATTATTGAGTAAAAATATACAAATTATAGGATTGAGAATAGAATTATTGAATGAGTGATTAAGTAATAAGTATTAGGTACTGTAGAAATGAAATATTTATAGATTAAAGGCGTTCGAATGTAGTTTACTCCATAAATATTTGTTGAGTTTATCTTTTTTTCTGAAATTTTCAACTAACAAAATTAACGATCCAAATGTGGCTGGAAAATATAATTGAATGTGATTAAAAATAATGATGAAGTAACTATACAATAAAATCATAAAATATATACGTTGGGAAAATAATCTACTTCGTTTACACATCAATTACACTTGATTGTAAAGTGAAATAGGCCATGAATAAGTGAATATATATATATATATATATATATATATATATATATATATACGCGGGAATATGTGGTACATCAATTGTAATTAGATATAGCATTTCTCAAGCTCGATTCTTTTAGAAAATGACGTTCTCCCATATATAGTCAATTTACTTGCTGAACAATTTACTTTGACAATTTACTGCCAGAAACATTTGAATGATGTATCCGAAGAGCTCGTAATATCGCATCTGAGGATCACATGATTATGTGGATTATATTGAGTGATGTAATATAATTATAATATCTTTAAATGAAAAAATGTAAAAAAACTTTTGCATTCGCGGGTATTTTTTTTGCCAGGTAAACACACGACGACGCATGGAATTTCCAAGTTTTACTCGTGAATGTCTTCCCTCTTCCTTTTATTTATTATTTATTATTAATATTTTCTCCGTCCGTTTTTATCATCTACTTATTTGCATTCACAATATTATTGTCATCGCTATCCTCGTGTGCAGTTGGCAATTCCGTATGAAAGTAATATCAATTAAATTTCTTGGATTCTTTGACAACCCACATTTCACTACCCATTATTATACGTCAAATACTTTTGTTCGACTAAATTAACAATATACAGTATAGTAACAAAATAACAAGGACTTTTTCTTTAATAAGCAATTTACCAATTGCTTCATTATACTTGCTTACACTTTTCACTCTCTTTTTTAACACTTTTTTACAGTTTTATATTGAAATTTCGTATGTGTACATCACTTTTTCACAATTATTCGCGTAAAATATAATAACCGCAGTTTAGCATTTTTTAATTTTGACGTTAAATTTTAGCAATTAATAATATTATAATTACTAAAAATTGTACATTCCATATTAAAAGCGCATGCGTAATTTTTTATTGTAATTAGTTTCCCATATAAAAATGCCGTTAATATTAGATAATTAATAATGTATACAAACAATTTTTATTGCCTTTTTATGGTAACCTACCATTATTACGAAAAGTATATATAATAGGATTAAGAAAATTTTTGCAAACATAAAAATGCCCTTTCATAAAAATAGTTTAAATACTTTCTAAATTATCTTCAACAATTTCTTCTTCAAAATATATCAATTGTACCTATGACGTTTACTACGCGAGTAATTGTTATACCATTAGTACATCAATTACGGTTCATGTGGATAAATACACCTCTTATAATACAATACATCAAATTTCCTTGAAACACACGCATTCAATTACTCTTGGTAGTACAATGACCCGAAAGCGATTCTTTTATATTTCAATTTATTATAAGCAAATAAATAATTAGCATTTAAAATTCTTTAAACGAAAATCTAATCGTTTAATGACCAATTCTGTTTAAAGATTTGCTTTTTTTTTTTTTTTTTTTTTTTTTTTTTTTAATGATACGTAATTTCTTTCCTCCTTATAATTAATTATCATATTTGTTTTAAAAATATACTGAAATCAATTGATCTATTTCTAAGTGAATAATATTTTTAAGCAAAATGAATTTCTTTTTATTAAAACTGATAAATACTTCATTTTATCTTCGGCAAATAAAAAAAAAGAAATATATTTTCTTTACTTGTGTTTTATCTTAATTTATCGCTTGTTTTATTTGATTTTTGTATATTTAATTGAAGTTATAAATATTAAAATAATCCAAAAATTTCTGACTGTATATTTTTCTAGTTATAACTTCAATTAAATCACTTAGATAATATATCCTTATAATAGAAAGCACTACTAGAATTCTTTAACTAGGGAAATATCTCTTATACACACACGCGCACGCACGCACGCGCGCGCACACACACACATATTATTCGGTTAATTATGAATTTGAATTGTTTACATTAACGATTATATCCGATTATACAAGTCGGAATTAACAATGTACATACAATTAATTCATGAATCAATTGCTTAAAAAATTTTAGTAAAAGATCGTTGAAAATATGAATAAATTATTTATCGTTTGAGCGATTAAAATGGAATCTTGGAAGTAAAAATTCTACTGTATCCTTTACCTAAATTATCATCTAAATTAAAGGATTTTAAATAATATGTTTACAAATAATCGTACGGATTTACTGATAAAGACGCCTACTCAAAGATTACATCTCGCATCTTCATGCATTTGATAAGAAAAAAATCGCCCAAAAATGCAGAAAATTACTCGGTATGTTATTTTTATTCATAACCTCGGAAACGATTTGTTTTCATTCGATTTGAGACTTGTTTTTATCGCCGCATCACATTTTCTTCTATTTACCATGAGAAATAATCAAAAGACTAATGACTTCTTCGAAACTTCGTCATTACTTCACGTACCCGTGAATTTTAATACGTCAATTTAAAAACTACAGCCTGTAGGAAGTGCTTTTTCCCCTTAAGGCTGATGAACGATGGAGCACACGCGCCGTTGTGTAATTCCTTACTCTCCTATAAGGAGTGTAGCTCCTCCAGCTAGAGCTTACATTTATCCTGAAAAACAGGATACAATTGTAATTTTATGAATCAGCATGATCTCTTCCATGAGATATTTCGTAGAATAATGAAGTCAGCAGAGTTGTAATGAACAGGCTGCAATTAGCTGCAGACATCGAGACTAAATAATATACATCTAAGTTTGGGATTCCTCGGCTTAATCGACCGTACGTGATATGCACTATGGATCAAATAGATCTCAATGTAGATACGATGAACGTTGAATAAACTTGTAGCGGTGTGAACGACCGAGGATGCAGACGATCGCTTCAAAATGAGAAGCAACGGCAACTATTCCGATACAAGCAGACATTTATGGGATTTATGAAAAACTTGAAAAGTGATTTCTGATTATGTGACGTGAAATTTTTTTTTTATCAATTTAAATTATTTATTATTATATGTGCTATTTAGAATAATCGGAGGCTTTTAAGCATTACTCTGGCATTCTCAAGTCTACAAATCTAAAATCTAAAAATCTCAAACTCTAAAAATCATTTTATAATGCTTTTGTAATATTTACACTACTATTGTACTATATAATGATCCTAAATCATACCTAAATAGATCATTTTAAATTATCACTTGATATTCGCAGTATTTCAATAAAATTAAAATAATCAAAATTGTAAAGCTCTACATTGAAAAATATTGAATAAACAAATAGATGCTTAAGACTCGCTTCATTCTTCATAATTATATTATTGTATTTATTTACCAGATTATTATAAAAATAATTTAAATTATTATAAATGTCACTAGATTTAACAGATTTTTCCTAATAATATTCAACCTACGTAAGTAGTCAAAGTTATCTAAGATTTCATGTATTCTCCCATGTGATAACAAAAGACTTTTAAGTCATACTGATTACAAACACGAGGATATTTGCATTAAAATTTTAAGCTACGCCATATATTGTTTAAAATTAACATATGTGTTGATGTACTTGTAAAAGAGAATAAGTAATGTAAAGTTGAAAAGAAACAGAAGGGAATATCATTAACCTGGGTAAGTAATTTGCAGTTGTAGATAAATAATAGTGAAAATCCATATTGTTTTTTATTTTAAAGAAAGAAAATTCAAATTCCTCTTTTAATTTCACGTACAAAAAAGATGAATTTTATTCAAATAATTGTATAATTTAAGAATGAAATTCCGGAATGAGCTTATGGCTGATTCTTCATTACAATTTCATTCATCGTTTATTACAATTTTGTCACAATAAAAAATTATTATAATACCTATATATATATATATATATATATATATATATATACCTCAAAAGCAAAAATAAACTGAAGTAAAGAAATATGTTACGAGCTTCTGTATCCTGGTGTTTGTTATTATACATAATCAATGCAATAAGAAATCAATTGAGCAACTTGATCAATCTTAATGGGAGTACGATTCTTTAAAATTTATGCTACTCTATGTTTGGAAGGAGTCGAAGGGGAAAAAAGTGAAAAATATAAACATTCGCAAATATTAATAAAAAGTCGCATGAATCTAACGAAAAAGAAAAGAAAGAAATTAATTTACAGCTTGAACTGCTCTTCTATCTATTGTATTTGTTTAGAATATTTGAGAAGAGAAAAGTATTTTATATAAAAAAAAAAAAAAAAAAAAAAAAAAAAAAACCAAAATTATAGGAATCACCGGATCTTGAAAGCAAAATGAATATCCCTGCATAATTTCAAAATCTTTTGGTTCGTAAGCAATTGCCTTTTATATGCTCGATGCGGAAATTTCAATTTGACTTTCGAAACTCTCAAATGGAAATTTCAATGACAATTGCAAACTAATCGAGTATCGACACCATTTAAGTCGCCACTATTGCACTCGGTGCCATCAAATATACGCTCAACCAGCCCAATACATACCTACAGATTATTAAAGTACAGATACACCTACATACAGATAAAGTACCTACATACAGATAAAGTATCTACATACAGATAAAGTACCTACATACAGATAAAGTACCTACATACAGATAAAGTACCTACATACAGATAAAGTACCTACAATAATTAAAGTACAGATAATAGGGCTAATCGGCAGACTCACCCTTGCACTTGTCGCAGTTGGGTCCCGGCATCTTGTCTGACACTGTCTGATAATGTCCTGACTCTTTCTTTATCTTTTTCTATCTTATAATCTGTCTGCTCTAACTGCTCGTACTGCTCCTGCAACTGATTATGACTTACTCGAGGTGCTCCGCCTCGACTCGTCAATTTATCGATCGTCCCGTCGTTGCCCCCCCCCCCCCCCCGCTTCCACCAACGCTTCCCCCGCCAACACTACCACCCCCGCCAGATAACGCGCCCCTTCTCCGTCGCTCCAGCGTTTCTCTTATCCGTGGCCACTATGTCCTCGTGCTTTTTTTTCTGCGACGTCACAGCGCGACTCAAGGAAGCTCCGTCCACTTTCAGCTCCATGTGGGATTTTATCGTTTCCTATGCATCCTCGTTTTAAAAAAATAGTTAGATCCGCGCTTTGATAAAGGAAAAGGAAACCTCGGATATTTTAAGGTGCCAGTATGGTGGATCTGTCAGCTCAGCGCTAACGCACTTCCTCGCTCGAATTACAAATTGTCGGGAACGTCAAAGCGTCATTATAATGCAAAATAACGAGATATGGTGGATGCCTATTCTGTCGTACGTTGATCATTACGGTAATTCTAGTATCCCTTTGGTTTTGCACGGAAATATTAGATTATCCGAACAATGGCTATAACAGCTTGCTGTCGTTATAATCAATATTGATCATTTATTTGAAATAATATTCAATCGATAGAATACTAATTGGATTAATTGAGCAAATGGTTTTCGCACCATCCATAATCACTAATTTTAGTAAATAAAGCACAATTTTTTTTTTAAGCATTCGAATATTATAATGACTCGCTTTGAGCTTTGTAATTCTCATCCATTGCATGAAAATATTTGAATTTTGAATTTTAATCCATTAAAACTTTGATAATACGTTCTATGAATTAGTTTATTGGTTAAAATTATAATATCGAATTTTTTAATCTTTTGAACGACGACACTCAATGTTAAATATTGGAGAACGTTCATTTTTTCCTTCCCACAGCTTATAATAAAATAAATAACTTTAATTTTCCAATTTTACATAAATATCCTTTCATTTTTTCATTATTTTCGTATGAACAATTTTTAGGCATTGATATCTATAGAGTTAGGTGATGATGCAACTAAATATAAATAATAAAAATTATGACACTTGTGCACTACCAGCAAAAATAATGAACGCGAAGATAATAAAAGCTCGTTAATCAGAAAAATTTATTTTCAAAATATAATTTATTTCATATTTAATTTATTATAACATATGATTTTATTAAAATACTATTTTTTCGTAATAAATTTTATGCATCGAGAATTCGACCTACAAGTTTTTGTACGATTAAATACAAATATCAACCTTCATTCCGAGAAAACGTTGTCATTGCCTCATTGAGTACATTTATTTTATTGGACGCAAGTGACATTATTTCGAAATAACTCATAATTTCAGTGAAATGAAAATTCATTTCTATACAAAAATTTGAGTTTTACATAGTTTTAAGAGCACATCTATTTAAAACTAAGGAGTAAAATTTACCAATTATGTATTTTCAATTAATTTAGGTCCAATTATAAAGAAATATTGTTATATACAAGGCTTATCAAACATATTAAAACTTAAAAATGTCAATATTGTATAATTAACGCCAAATCAACAATGTCTACGTTCATTTAAAAATATTCGAATAAAGCATATATTATGGATGTTCCATATTTGTAAATTTTCTTCAATTATTTATATTATACGTATAATCTTATTTATAACAACATATTCTTACACCCACAATTAAACAATGCTAATATTAATTTAAAATACTATTAATATAGGATAAAAAAACTATTACGTAATATTATTTGCAAATTATTTTGTATTTGATAAGCATGATGGATATAATTTGTAAATAATGAAACTTTATGAAGTATATAAAGTAGTTGTATATGTTTATTAATATATATATATAAACATACTTTATAATAAATCATAGTAGAAACGCATTTGTAATAATGCCAATAGACGTACATCGCGATATTATTTTATAATTATTTGAAAGAATAAGAATATCCCTTTATATTATATTATACGCTTTATATTCGCTTTATATACGCTTTATATAATTCCATTATACACTAAAATATATAGGTGTTATTTATAAAATTTATATGTATTTTTAATGTTTTATTAAATTCATATTGTTTTCACGTTTATGCTATTAATTTCAATTTATACAAAACAATGATATTTAAAATAAATATCATTATTCAGAAAAGGATATTGAATAAAAAACATAGATTAAATTAGAAATATATTATGAAAATATGTATTTTTTCTTTCTTTTAAAATAATATTTTTCGATTTTGTTTTCAACCAAAGCCATCGCTCGATCATTATCAACTAAACATTTTCCTGCGGCTTCGTTATTTGCCTTTCTTTATTGTCTCGGATTGTCCATTTTTCCCTCGGATACAAAGTTTACATTCATAAATTAAAAAAAAAAAAAAACAAACAAAAACCGTATTACATTCTCATATTGCTGAATTACCAACGATTCTTCAATCTTCTTCAATTGCTCCTCAATTGGTAATACCCATTTTGGTAACATTTTCCTATACATCTCATATATATGAGAAAAGTCTTACTCTATTACTTTACTACTCTACTACAAGTTTAACTTACTAATTATCTGAATGTATTTAAATGTTTTATTCCCTTGTTAAAAACTAACAGGATTGATTAATTAAGTACAATCAATCAATATTAATTGAGAAGCGTTCGATGTTAAAGTAATATTTTGTCAGATATTACGAAACTCTAATTGAAATTGACCAATGGAATAATCTCTTGTAATTCGAACTTTTAATTCTGTAGTATTGCAGAGAGGAATTTTGTAAATTGAAAATCACAATACGGATATATTAAATAAAAATAGAAACTTTATTTCAATATTCAATAAAAAAATAAAATAGAATTTTTATTTCAATAAATACTTTTCAATTAATACAGTAAAGGAATTGATAATAAAAAATTAAAAAATTAAAAAACTATTATTTCTATGTTTTCTATTGTATAATAGAATGTAATGTATTAATAAACTATGATAATCTATTGTAATTATAAATTTAATTTTTGATTTTTCAATAATTAACATTAATAATTAAAATTATCAAACTATATTTCAATTACTTTTATAATTAGCTATACATATGATTAGCTAATGATAGATTTGTGTAAAAAATTATTTTGAGATGTCCTTACAAAAAGAAATTTCGACTAAATCTTATATCAATCGCATGTTATTTTTCATTAATTTTTCAAACATTAATTAAGGACACGTGACTTTCAAAATTACTATTGCATAATTAAAAAAAAAAAAAAAAAAAAAAAAAAAAAAAAATATATATATAATACGTTCTTGCTGCCAATGATCATACAAAATTATTCTAAATCTTGATGCTGAATCGGTAAAGTTTTTTTATGACGATTCTGTAATTTTATCTTAATTGATGTAACAGTTAGCAATGATGTTGGCTTCCATTAGCTAAACACATAATCATAATTTCCTTAACTTATTTCAAACAAAATCATCATAGTTCTCTTAGAAAGCTAAGACTATTCTTTCTTCAAAAGTTAATAATATTTTGCCGGAAGATTGTTTCAGGCTCGCATTTCTTCCACTTAATGCTTTCTTCTTTTATTATTTTTTTTTTTTTTTTTTTTTATATATAGCCAACTTCCTGTCCATCTATAAATGTTATAAAAATACTATTAATAATAAAACAATCTTTCTATTTATAAATAATGTGATGACTTTTGAATGAACAAATGTATAAATAAAATAATAAAATCGTCATGCTTATCAAAGCTATAAGATTATTATTAGATTTGCAATTCATTAGTTTTATACAATCATTTTATTTAATATCATATCAAATAAATCTGCCCTACTCAGAGTAGATACAAAAAATGGAATCGTAACTGTGCGTTAGTGTGCGTATATAATCGTTTTTGAAAGTCCAAGCGCAAGGCCAAGGAAACTAGTAAAAGCGTTCGATTTTTATTTAATTTAGAGCACGTAAATAAAAAGCTAAAATTTTTGCTTCATTTTTACCTTTTTTTTTTTTTTTTTTTTTTTTTTTTTTTTTTTAATATTAGTATTAACTTGTTTCATGGCCCCTTTGGATTTCTTTGACTTTACAAACTTATTGTTATTATTATTATTAGATTTCTCTTCTCAATGTACAAAGATATCTCTGATTCCTGTTCATAAAGCTTAAAATGTAAACTTTTATTTTAAATTGAATTTTTTATTGAAAAATAGAATAATGAGAAGGAATATCGTAAATAAGATTTATTTTATTTTTGTAATAAATTATATAAAATCGATAATTCATTATTACAATACTTGTATACATCACAATATTAAATATACATTACAATACAAAACATATATTATTAATAAATATTTACAATATAGTGCTTATTTTATTCGTCAAATAATTTTTTCAATAATACTTAATTATTATATTGAATATAAAGGATATTTTTGATGAAAATTAATAAATTTATTTACAATTATAAATAAACTAAAAGATTTTAAAAATCTTTTAACGATAACTGTTTAACTTTTTGACAATACACTGATATATAAATTTCTCCAATCAAATTCTAATAATTAACTTATTATAAATTACATTTTATAAATATTAATTATTTGAAACAAACTTTACATTATTACATTATTATTTATACGAAATAATGAAATATCGTTTATTTTCAAGTTTATTTTCATTTTTAGTATAATGTAATTATTAATTATCCTAAAAACAATCATATGCGATACAAATTATTTAAATGATTACATTCTTCAAAAGTGTGTAAATAAAAGTTACAAAAATTTTTTTTTTTTATTTTATTATATTGTACAATTAATTTTTACACACACACACACGCACACGCACACACACACACGCACACACACATATATATATATATATATATATATAGAGGTTATTATGATTTATATATTTTATAATAATTTATAATATTTTCAGAAGGTTCATTAAAAATAATTAACTCAAAATTTAAAAGTTTTAGCATATAATATATAATAAGCAAATCGCA